GGTTACATTTTATAATCTTTTTAAAAATTTATAGTTGGGGCACCTGGGTGGCACAGTCGGTTAAGCGTCCGACTTCGGCCAGGTCACGATCTCGCGGTCCGTGAGTTCGAGCCCCGCGTCAGGCTCTGGGCTGATGGCTCAGAGCCTGGAGCCTGTTTCGGATTCTGTGTCTCCCTCTCTCTCTGCCCCTCCCCCGTTCATGCTCTGTCTCTCTCTGTCCCAAAAATAAACAAACGTTGAAAAAAAAATTTTAAAAATTTATAGTTGTCATTTTAACTTCCATTTTTTGCTTAATTTAATTCACTTAGTAAAAATTACTGTTGTTTCAAAACAGTGACAGCACATTTTTTCTAAACTGAGAAATTAACTTAATGGTAAAAGAGAACAGAAGCTTCATCTCAAGTATATAATTTTGAATTCAAGGTCTAGAACTATGAAAAGCTAACTTGCCCAAATTTCTGGTCCTTATTACCTTTCTGGGAACAATATTTCAATCACTGTATGTCTAAGGTTTGACCTGAACTTCCTAAGTTCAAAACTAAGTTCTCCTAGGTTCATAAAATGTTGTTACAACCTCTCACCTAATTTGCTGCAATTAAAATCCCAAATTCCAATCTCAGTCAAAAATGAAGCTATTATATCACATTTCATTCACATTATTCATCAAGCAATCAACACTTATTGAGAGCCAGCTACTGTTGGTGCAAGGGTCAAACTTAAATTTAAGGTTCTGAGGCATGAAGAGTCTTTATTTCAGGTCTCCACAGAGGAAAGTTCAAACAGATAAACATATTGCTTCGATTATGATCATCACCTCCAAGTCCCCTTTATTTGCTGCATCCTTCATCCTGTTCTACATATTCAGGGGACATTTATTGCTCATTGGCTGCTCCGTATCTTTTTCCTTTCTTGTTTGCAAAAGACCCCAACTTCTTTGAAGGGGAACAACTTCTCCCTCACTGTGAGGGGTTTTGGAAGGAGTTGGTTTTAAAGCAAAGTTCCCTGCTCTCCTCTAGCTAAGAGTTGGGTTTGTGACCCAGTCAAGGTCAACTGGATTCCCTTCTCCAGGATTTTGCATTCTGAAGAGTTACGCAGTATGCAGAAAAAAGAGTCACAAAGACACTCGAGCAGTTCCTACAGACCAGATGCCCAGGCACGCTCAGTATCTTGTCTTTCCTAAGCCTTTTTCCACTGACTCCATGCCAGTTCCAGCACATTGACTTTCTGCTTGATTCAATCAGAGGATGTTTTCTGTTGCTTACATCCAGAGAACCCTATTGATATTCAACTAAACTACACTTGATGATTTTACTTCTTTATTTAAAATCTTTTCAGCGTTGCCACTGCCTGCAGGCTATAATCAAACCCCCTTGTTCTAGCAAGGAAAGATCCCTATTTTTTAGACCCATCCCTCTCTATGCAACCACATCAATTTCTTCCCCACCCCCTTAATTTCAGCCATTTGGAATCCTAATTTATATAACACACTACTCTGTTTTCCGCCTCAGTGAAAAGTGTGGCTCGTTTCTTCTGCCAGGATTACCTTTCCCTTTTTATTTACCTGATTAATGCCAGCTTGTTCTTTAATACTTGCCTTGAATGTTATCTTCTTCAAGAAGCTTTTCCTGACAAGAGAAGCTCTTTTCTCTTCCCTGGCTTAGTCAGATGTCCTCTTCCTGAAGTAAGTCCCTAGAGCATCTCCCAGCCATGCCCCAGGGGGCAGAAAACTATGGTGGTTAAGGGTGGGGGCACTGGAACCAGACTGCTTGAGTTAAAATTCTACTGCTATCTCTTTACTACTTGGCTTTGGGCAGGTTATTTAACCTCAATATGCTTTATATCAATCTCACAGTGTTGTTGTGAGCATTAGGTAATACATGCGAAGTACTTAAAAGTGACTAGCATATGACTAGTGTTAAATACGTGCTAGGTATTATCCAGAAATTTATTTCTATCATAGTGCTATTTTTGCTCTCTTTCCTTCACCTACTTTAATCTGTGCATTCCTATCTCGCCCAACTCTGTATTTCCCAGGCACTTAGTAGTGGCTCAATAAAAATGTGTTACATGTATATATGAACAAATTAGCACTGATAGTGCTTTGTAGTTTATAAAGTCCTTTTGGAATATTACCTCATTTCTCACACCTCAAGTATTACATTAAGGATTGTTTTATTTACAGTTTTACAAAGAGAAAAATGTTCCTTGATATTATAATAAATACCTCCCCAAACCTATCATTTTCTTGTTCATGTACACACACATGCACATACACACACTCACACGTGTTTAATGTTTACTTAGGGTCATTTTACTGGCCAGTTAGTGATTTAAAGCTATAAATTATTTTTTATTATAGGAATTATTTTTTATCAATTATTTTGCATTATTTTTTTAATACAAGGGGAAGAAGCAGGAAAAGCACTCTACTATTGAGCAAGGGAAGAGAATAATATATATAATATTTATATCTATCTATATAAACATGATATACATGATATCTCTATCGTGTGTGTGTGTGTGTGTGTGTGTGTGTGTGTGTGTGTGTGTATTTAAAAATTCCTGGCTTTCTGTGACCCTAGGCACGGCATTTGAGCTTTTCCTCTGAATTAATTTTGGATCTATATTTAAAGATTATCATTTTGAAGAGGCATCAAATTAGTGGTCATTTCTGAAAAAGACAAACTCATTTTTGTGAAGACTACTGAGCAGGTCGATTCTAAAGAGATCCTAAAGGCGAGGATCACAAACTCTTCACAAGGGAGTGGGGACTTCCTCTTCCAATCTAACACCTAGTGGCTTTTACAGGTGGCCATAACATCAATGGCAGGATGGCCTGTAGATGTGGAAACGAGCTCTTATTTTCATGTAGTATTATTATTTGACAGACAGTCTGCATAATACAAATTCTGTGAGCAGGCAGATTTATAAGCTAATATTAATTACTAACATTAGTTGAGGACTTTTAGTAAGGAAGGCAGGATAGGAAGCATTTTCCATGCACTACCTAATTCAATCCTCATGACAACTTATAATGCAGACATAGTATCATTATCCACGTTGTACAGATAAACTCAGGTTCAGGGAGGTTGGATAACATACCAAAGGTCACAAAACCATAGTAGAAGGGTCAAGCTTTGAAACCAGACAATCTAACTCCAAGGGCCTTGTCTTAAACATTATAACACGTTGTTTCCTCTGGTTAGTAATACTTCTTGGAAGTATTGGTAGAACTCAACATGATACTGTGAAAGAACATCTCTCTTATTTCTGTATCTATCAGCACCCTGAAATTGGAAATGCATAGCACTGTGTCTGGCATAGACTATGTATATAAAAACATATATGCCACTAACCCGTAGCCACACTTACATGGGTACTGGCAAGCAGTGTATGTAGTTAGAATGTTTAGGCTTAGGAACCAAACAGACTTGGATTTGAATTTTTGCTCTGCTACTTACTAGGAGCTTAACATCTCAAAGGCTCATGCTGAAGAATGTATCTACTAATACTTGTTATAAAGGAGTAGTAAAACATCGGGGCGCCTGGGTGGCTCAGTCGGTGAAGCGTCCGACTTCGGCTCAGGTCATGATCTCACAGTTGGTGAGTTCGAGCCCCGTGTCAGGCTCTGTGCTGACAGCTCAGAGCCTGGAGCCTGCTTCAGATTCTGTGTCTCCCTTTCTCTCTGCCCCTCCCCCTCTCGTGCTCTGTCTCTCTCTGTCTCTCAATAATAAATAAACATTAAAAAAAATTTAAAGGAGTAGTAAAACAAATTATACATATTTATATACTAGTTACGTATCTTTATACACAGACATATCCATCACTATGTGCTGAATACGAATGTGAATCTGTGTGTCCTGTGCCCAGAAAAGGAAAGAGACTGTGGAATTAGTTAAAAAAAAGTATTCACATCTTACCAAGTGAATAACTTTTACTAATTTTTTCTCATTCAAAGAAAAACAAAAGCAAAAGTAAAGTTTGGATGAGATCTTATTTCCTGGGTCTGTGTCCTGAGACCCAGAGAATTATTTGACCACAATCATGTTATTTGCAAGTAACAAAGAAATAACACTTAATTCAGGTGTCCTGAGTCTAAAATCAAGGTACTTTGGATGCAAATTGTTTACTAGCCAGTTTTTTTTATTCCTACTGAATTGCTAAAGTTCACTTTAAAAAAAAATGTCTGCCTTACTCCTTTTTTCAAAAAGTAGCTGTGTACTAACTAAATATCTTCAAAGAAATTTATTACTTCTGTAGAAAAGATTTGGAAATCACTTACCAGTGAAATAATTACAGCAAATAAACACTTCAAAATGATTTTTCTTCTTCATTCAAAAATATAAAAGATACATAGTATATTTGTTCTAGCTAAGTCAACCAGATTTATACCAATGGATTCCTATGTTTCTAACTGATGTCATGATTTTGCAGAATGGATTCCAAGAGGCTGAGAAATGCAATCTTCGTGTTAAGAACATATGTATTTGACGATGGCATTGTATAAATTCCAGTATTAACATCTAAAGTATTGAAAAATATATTATGTTTGGTACTCTTCTTTTCTAAAAAAATTATAACTTTCATTTATACTTAACATTAAAGGAGGAAAATCGGCCCAGACAACTCAAAAGAGTGAACAACCAATTCCCAGTTTATTATATTTGAGTCTGTAATATATTATGGCTGAAAGCTTCCAAAACAAACAGTTACAAGGTAAAGAGCTCAGCTGAACTACTTATTAAATAGATTTTTTGAAATACTAGCTGTTAAGTGAATTTCATTAAGCCAATTATACTTGTCAAGTTTATGGTTTTTTCCTTGTATCATTCCGTTCTAATTTATGGCTGTTTTAGAAAATGGCATTAACTTTTTTTCTGGATCATCCTCAGGCTGAACAGAGTAGAGACAGTGTGTGGCTGACAGAGAAAAGCTGCCTGAAACCTGGTGGGAGAAGGGTCTGGGAGAGTGAACTGACAGGTGGAAATTTTTCCCCATACCTTCTGCTTGATGATCATTTCGTTGATGTCTTCAAGATCACCCACCATCACCCTCTGTGATTTTATAACTCGATCCAGCAGAGACAGCCAGTCGGTAAGTTCTGTCCAAGCTCGGTTGAAATCTGCCAGAGCAGGCACCTCCAACAGCAAGGAAGATGGCATTTCTAGTTTGGAGATGGCAGTTTCCTTGGAAACCACGGGTTGTGTCACCAGAGTAACAGTCTGACTAGGAGCTAATTTTTTTTTTTTCAAAAAGAAAAAAAAAGGAAAGAAAAGAAAAATTAGAAACACAAGCAAAGAAGCCAATGTCAATAACAATAGAACAAGCTTAATTAAAGCACAACAATTTGAGCCGAAGTATTATTTATGATACAACATATTTTTTCCCAGCAATGTGAATACTTTTCACAGGATTACATGATAGGGTAATTCAGAGACTCAAACTTTTCATTAACGTACATTGAACAATCGTTCAAAATGATTTTGCTTATTCTCATGGCTGGACAGTTCATTTAATTTCAATAGTCCTCAAATAACAATTCTATAGACTGTGGAATTAGTTAAAAAAAAAGTATTCACGGGGCGCCTGGGTGGCTTGGTCGGTTAAGCGTCCGACTTCAGCTCATGTCATGATCTCACGGTCCGTGGGTTCGAGCCCCGCGTCGGGCTCTGGGCTGACAGCTCAGAGCCTGGAGCCTGTTTCTGATTCTGTGTCTCCCTCTCTCTGTGACCCTCCCCCGTTCATGCTCTGTCTCTCTCTGTCTCAAAAATAAATAAAGGTTAAAAAAAAAAATTAAAAAAAAAAGTATTCACATCTTACCAAGCGAATAACTTTTACTTATTTTTTCTCATTCAAAGAAAAACAAAAGCAAAAGTAAAGTTTGGATAAGATCTTATTTCCTTGAACGGGAAGTAAATTACTTTGGAGGTGGTGAAAATCTAGCGAAATCAAAGCCAATTAATTTGGGAACAGCTTGTCGTATTTTTTTCCCCTGTTCTTTCAGACTGGTCATAACATGACTGTCAGTGGAGAAAACCCAAGCTACATTATTTTTGGTAAACCAGACCTAATAGAATTTTTTTTCTCTGTGATTCTTTACCACAACATTGTGGTCTGGGCAGGGAGATCATCATTACCACCAATTTACACAAGGTGAAACCAAAATTTGGGAAAGTTAAAATACTTCTGCAAAATCAAAATCTACTAAATTAGATGGAAGTTTCCAAACAATCTATATTTTAAGAATGAAGGCTCTGAGTTGAGTGATTAAAAGGGAATTCACAAAAAAATAGGTAGCCCGATTAAAAATCTGCCAAGGACTTGAATAGACATTTCTCAAAAGAAGACCTATGATTCGCCAACAAGCACAGGAAAAGCTGCTCAACATCACTCATTATCAGGGATATGGCAATCAAAACCACAGTGAAGTATCACCTCACACTAGAGTTTCATCAGGCAGAACAAAAACAGAAACCATTAGCTGCAATGTAAATGAAGCAGTATTAAGTAGTCATAAAATGTAGATTCTTCTGTACTGACTTTATAATACTTGATATTGGTATAGAACTTTCAGCAGTGTAAAAGTGTCTTTTCAGTAATTTTTCTACTTGGAGTGGAGTAGTGTGGAGCACTATTGTATAAGATGGCACATGATAATGGTTAAAATCCAAAGGCGGACTCAATGGCTAAATATATGAAAAGTATATAAAACAGTGCCAGAAAATAACAGCAATATCAGCACAGTTTCTGACACTGGCAGGTAATAATGTTAGGTATTACTATTTTCATCAACACTTGATAAAAAAGAGACATAGAGATGAACAAATACAGTGAGAAGTTGGAGATAAGGGGTAGAAATATGTGAAATATTTGGGAAAACCTCAAAGGTTTGTATGTGGCTCTGTATTTACTAAAGGGGGCTGAACTTGCTGGTGTGAACTGATATTAAACACCCACAAACAGCCACACAGCGGGGGGATGGAAGCTAACTGATGAGGGGTACAGAAGGCCTCATCGAGTTTAAAATCGGTAGCCTCTGAAGCCCACTACATCCAAGAGACGGGCAGCAGAGAAATAGCGGATGACATAGTTTAAAGGGACACTTCGAGAGAAAGCTGCAAATGACAACACCTCAACATGAGACCTGAGAATCATGGACAAGAAGGGACAAGTGGGCCATGTGGGCATTCCATTCTAAGGTAGCCATAAATCAGTTTTCATGTACTTCGAAAGCTGTCTTCTTGTTAGAGAAGATGATGAGGGAGACTGGAGGGACGTCTCCTGTGTCTCCAGCTTTTCAGGGACAACAAGAATTTCCTACAGATGGAAGAAATAATCTTGAACCAGGCAGAAAAAAAGAAAAAAAAAATGTAGGGTGTCAGATAGAATCAAAATTAATGTCAAGACATAATGATTGAAAAAACAATTATACTGAGGAGAAAAAGAAATTGTTTCTTGAATCTATCCTGCTACTCTCAGGCTCTTTCTAGAAAGAGTGACATATAATCTGCAGCAGAAATAGCATCTTGTGATCCAACACTCTAGTAGGAAGCATGGGGTCCAAGAAGATCTAAAAATCTTAAATGGGATTCCAAGAGATGAGGCGAATCCCTGAAGAGGATGCATGGGTGAGGATGAAAAAAAAAAAGCTAAATTAAAACATTACTGTGGGAGCTAACTGCTGAATGCCTAGCTGACTAGAAAAGATGGACAATTTGTCCTGAAAATAGATACACAACAGATACTGAGGTAACATACAGTACTTTGGGATGGTTTCAAGGTTCTGGGAAGTGTCAGACAATGTTTTTTTGTTTTTGTTGTTTTTAACTTGACTTATTGAAAATCTAACCCTCAAAAGAGCAGGAAGGGCATTTGTTTCTTTCTAGATTTACTTTTGGCCAACAAAGAAGTGCTCAAGGAAGTGGAAATGGTCATGTCCTCTGAAATCTCCATACAGTGAAAGATGAGAATACAGACAATTATCAGATTTCTCAACTGTTTTGAAAAAAAAAAAAAAAAGTCTACTGAAAAGAAAGGCTGGGGCCAGAGACTTGAACAACAGAGAACGATTCAAAATGATGAAAAAGTACAGACAAATGACATTGGGATGATAATATCACAAAGTTCTCTAATGAGGGGTAAAAAAAGAAGTAACACCAAGTACAAAGTCAGCTGAAGCAGATTTAGAGGAAGGTTGAAAGGTCAGCAACATAGCCATGTGTGTGCCAGCCATGGGCAGATGATCTCATTTATGGACCAGTTGGGCCCTTCCTTGCTGCTCTGCTCTCCCCCAGCACTCAACATCTGAAAACTCTATCAGAGCGGGAAAGGGAGGGGAAATTGGGTCCCCCATGTTCATGCCTCTAGCTCCTGTACTTTGACAGGTCCTGGAATACAGTAGGTGCTCAAATGATGTCCTCTGAATAAATGAATGAATCTAAAGACACAAATCCATGCACATTAAGCTTTCCAGTAAACTTAGGGGCCTTCTACCTGTGGGGAGCTCTAAAAGACAACAACAACCTTGAAGGATGGTTTCTCGAAGACTAGAACACAGAACGTCCCTAGGCTCTCACTCTTAACTATTCGCAGAACAAGAAAATTAGAGCCACTGCTTGGGGTAGACAATGGGAGGTCAAATATTAAAGAGAGAAAATAGAACCAATCAATTTTTTTTGTTCCCCATTTTTCTATCAAGGTGGGGGTGGATAAAAGGCAGGAAAGAACACAGGATCAAGAAGCAAAGTGTAAAACAAAACTATCTAGGGCCAGACTGTTGGATTTAAATCCTCACTCTGCCATTTCTTAGCTGCTAAACCTAGGCAGGTTACTTAAGCTTTCTGAATGTCAATTTACTGCTCTGTAAAATGGCAATTATAATAGTACTTCTCTCACAGACAGCTGGCATTAACATTTCCTAGATATACAAACTTGGATGTGATTACAGGCATTTTGAGGCAAGGGATTATATCATGCTTGGTAAACTGAACTTTTGTGAGCCTCAGAGTATTCACCTACATAATGGGAAAGAGAGCACCAATCTCATGAAATTGTTCTAAGTATTTTATGAATTGATATATGTAAGTCATCTCCTAGCATTCTTCTGACAGGAGGTGCACTGTGGGTATGTGTTTTCTTCTCCTTTTCATTTTGCTGCTCAAACAATGTTTACTGGCTCCTGATTTTCTAAATTAGCATGCCATTCTGGACTCTGGGCTCTTTGAACTAGAATTCACACACCAGCCTCTTCTTCCTCCATTCTTCCCTTCCTCCACCCCAGTCTCTATTCAGTATTCTCCAATGAGCACTGGCCATTCCACACTTTTGTGCCTTTCTCTGAAAACTCTCCTCTCCCTTCCCGAGATGAATATTCCATTTCCTTTTCCAATCACAACTCTCGATTTCTGTGATTTATGGAGAGCCAGGATAAGCCAATAGCCAAAACGTCCACATGAGGCACAGAATTACACTATTCTTTGGGGTCTTAAACATTTTCAAGTCTTCAACATTTCACTACTTAAATCTCATCATCAGTAAGAAGAACAAAATCTTTTATCTTTATTAGGTTTTTGTTTGTTTGCTTGCTTAGTCGCTAGAGGGTAGTAATTGATAGTAACTGAGAGCTGGATTCTAAACTAAGGCTAATTTCCATCTAGTTCACATTTTATTAGGGCCAATTCTATCTAGAACACTATTTGAAATATTTCACTTTTCCTAAAAAAGACTTGCTTCTAGATCCACGCGTGCGCGCGCGCGCGCGCACACACACACATATTTTATTAAGCAAGATGTTTCAAAGGAGAAATTTTGAGGTCCTGAGAACATCTTATTTTATGATGCATATCATATTGATTCATACTACATTTTTAGGTGTCGTTACTTTTATCTAAAAAGAAAAAAAAATGAAGTTTCTTCTTTTCCCCTGTCATGCTACTTGAAACATAAGCAAATCACTTCGTTAGGTGAAGTATGGGCTGGTCAGATCTGCAACGGGGTGGTTCCAAGTGGTTTTTCCCAGACTGAGCAACAGAATCTTGACTAAGGGTCAGGCAGGGATATTAAGTCTTCCCAGAGTTTTCCAGTAACTCCAGAATTTAAAAGACAGAAAGAGAATTTGTTGAGAGTTCTCTCAACTCATAACCCTGATCAGGTAAGGAGTTAGGACACATAAATGACTATACAGAATCTTAGACCCAAACTTGTGGGATAAGTTTCCAGGTTCTTCCTAAGAAG